CCCCTCTCTCTCTCACTCTCTCTATATATCTATCTGATCTACCTATGTATTCATCTCTACCCACTCTGTCTCCAGCATACGCCAACCTGGTTCAATAAATGTATTCTACAAATTAAGTTGTTCAAGGAGTGTTCATGGCTTTCCGCCAACTTGCCTGTGGTCCTACTGGAGACGGGCGTTAAATCTTGAGCCCCACCTCTTAAAAATCGCTTACCGGTACTTGTTAAAACGGGCGTCGAACCCACACTACACCTATTAACCCACAAATTGTCTTTAGTTCAGTTTTAATAAGAGTTTTACGGCACTTGAAACACAAATAGATCATTATGAGTGCCAAAGATCGGTGTGTTACTATAGAGTAACACACACAAAGAAAGGAAGGAAGAGGGATAAAGACATTATAATAATATGGTTGGTTGGAAAGAAGGAGTAAACCACATGAGAGCGCCCGCCAACCACCCACTGAATAATGAATGAACGGCAGCACTCCGTGACACCTCTGCTTCAGAGTGAGGATCTTTGGCTGGACACGAGCAGACCAACAATCGATAGCAACAAGGAACATGGGCACAAAGTAATTGACCTGCTGGACAACGTAATGAATGGCTTGTTTGTTTCTACGTGTACTTATTTGTTCAAAGACACATTTGATTCAGCGCGCTCATATGACCTTAGCAGTTGCCGGCGCCGTAAAACCCTATACTACATACATACATTTGATTCACACACAGAACAACAAACTGGCAGCTTGATCGTTTACTAGATTCCACTTACGTTTGTTCCGAGATAAAGACAACTCTGTGATAGACTACGAAAAGTCAATTTGGTTCGGGGTTGTTTTTTTCAATTTGTTTGTTTCTATTATGAAGAAAAAAAATTACTCTCACATAGTTCGGAGGTTAATCGATTGATGAATGGTAGTGCTGCTGCTGCTGCTGCTGCTGCTGCTGATGATGATGATGATGATGATGATGATGATGATGATTTTTGTTATTTTAATTGCTGTTCTTGTTGCTGTGATTCTCGTTGCCGTTGCTTATGCTCTCACCATAATAGTCGTCATTATGGGCATGGTCGATCATGATATTATAGTAAATGCAATTGGGTTAGTTTGAAGGGAAATATGGGGGAAAGGGGACGGGAGGACGATGTCATTCATGATTATAGGTAGGTACATGTACTTAAATGTAGTCAAGTTAGTTTAAATAGACTGGGGGGTTTGGGGGGTCGGGCGTTTTAAAGTCATCTTACCTGTGTCCCTCATCCGTGCCTGTTCATACTGGACCATAGGACTTTTGGGCGCCTCCTCGAAATAGCCAAACGCCTGGACCTGATAGTCGCCCGACTGATGATAATAATAATCCTGGGCAGCCGGCGAGCCCCCGTACCCCGGAGGGGGATACCCCTGAGGGTAACCCTGTGAGTACCCCGGAGGGTACCCCTGGGGGTAGCCGGCGCCCCCGCCGCCGCCGTCCCACATGGCGGCTTTTCCTCTCCGAAAAGAAGCACACAATACTTATAGAAACTCCTAAAACTCCACTCGAAACTCACAGCAACGCTGTGTCATCATCACAGTAACGTGTGACGGGTCTGCGTCACAGGTGGCACCACTCACTGGAAACACACGGTTGAAGGGAGGGGGTCTCTGCGAGTGAGTACAGGTGGGGGATAAAGGTGGGGAGTTGGGAAATTAAAATTGTACAGAGGTTTAACGCCCCTATGCAACACACCGTAAGGTTATTTAAGAGGCCAGACCATCGATTTTCATACAACACTGCAACGTTATTTAAGATGCGAGACGTCCGAATTTAACTCCAATTCCCGATAGGACGAACAAGATAGGAAGATTTGAGTAAAGTGTCTTTCCCAAGGACGTAACTTCGGACCAAGCTGAACTTCGACCCCCGAAACGATTAAGAGTCAAGTAGCCTAACCACTAGACTGCCGACGCCACCGATGGGGAGTTAGGGAAAGCTAGTATAGCACGAGACAAATTGCATACCTGTAGCATAATCCGTTTCCTTTTTATGTCTACCACCCAAGCGAAGTTGTATCATCCATGCTGCTTTGAATCCGCCAAGACGCAATAGGCCATAGGAGTGTAGAAAGGGAACTAAGAGTACTTTACAGTATACCTAAGACTTTAAGATAACTTTATAGTAGACAGGGGGTAACGACGGAATTGTGTCTAAAGGGTCTATTACCAGTATTCCTAATGTGGAAACGGAACACCGTCCTAATCTAAATTCACAACAATATCTTGGGTAAGCTTAGCCATGAAACTTAGTCCTCATATTAGCATTTTACTGTTTACCTGGGACTGCAATGGGATGGTGTACTAATAGTTCTTTTACAGTTATCTTCGGGTAGCAATGGAAAGAGGCTGTAAAGTTACTTTACAGCATAAGAAAACAACGGCGCACGGTCCTACAGTACCTTGGTGGGAGTAACGAAAGAAACAGACAGATCGGTATTTTACAGTGTGCCCAGGGTCACAACGGAACACGGTGGGCCAGCCAGTCAACAGTATAGCTGAACAGACAACTCTCCTGTGAAATCCACGTCGAAATACAGAAAAGATGAACACACAGACGAATTTCTCCCTCCCTCTTTCTCTTTGCCCGACACGTCCTAGAGTCTCAGTTTAGCTGAATAGACAACAATTTGCCCCCAGCTTTGTATCTCTTGCCCCACGTGTGCCCGTAGTGTATGTATGCGTGTATGTCAGCCTGCGTGCGTGTGTCTGCGCGACATGTAAGTGTGTCAGGTAAAGATGACGAATGAGCAACTCACTCACCCCCTCGCCCTGCTCACACATCTGGCTTTGCCTGAGATAGCAAGGGATAACAGAAGTGTTGACCTTTCGCTGGGTGTTTATGTAAAGAGTTGGAGGGACCCAAAACAACACATTAGGATAGAGTACACGACACACAGTGCGTGTGAACAGTCGTGCTTCCAAGTCTAGGCACGCGAGCGGGTATGTATGGGAATGTGCGAGTGTGTGTATGTTTATGTGAGAGAGTGAGAAAGAAAGAAAGAGAGAGAGAGAGAGAGAGAGAGAGAGAGAGAGAGAGAGAGAGAGAGAGAGAGAGAGAGAGAGAGAGAGAGCGCGAAGGTAGGGGGCTTCATCTTTGTTTGATCCGAATCTCTGTGTGACTACCAGCAGGCGAGAAATGTGCGTTTGTTTGCGCGTGTTAGAATATAATCTATTTATCTGTCTCAGAACGTGTCTGTGTATCTAGATGGGAATACTATTGTATTAAAAAGGTAGTCTTTAGTGAGCATGGTAGTAGTGAAAAAAACATTGTAACCAACACTTACATTTTTAAAAATCGCAACCCGATCCTTACTTCTATAGCTCAAATTTTCCAGGCCATTTATAAAACATATATAGATTCAGCACAAAATATAGCGCAATGTTAACATAGCGCTTGTTCCGCTTCACAGAGCTTTTTTTGGAGACGAACCAGTGAATGTGTATTAGCAAGATGTAACATTGCACGCTCGAACGAAAGTTAGACGAGATTTAACAGTACAACTGTGCGTACATAGGTAAAAATTCACAAGAATTTTCCATAAAACAAGAAAAGCATGTTTCGGCAACCCGTGGAAGAAAACAAATTTGTGTAAATCCATCACGGCTATATCGCAGCTCAGCATGATACTCATTCAAACGAAGAGAACGAAGCAAGGACCCATGAGCAACAAACAATACAGTAGATGACACTTCAATACCCTACACCTTCCAAATATTCCAAACAACACTCTATAAAGTGAACATTTCGGTTTGTAAAAAGCTATCCACACGAGAACATGGGCCAAATACTACACGACAAAGAGAACTTATTGAAATGTTCGCAGTCCCCCAAAAAAGGAAAAGGGGGGGGGCAAATCACAGAATTCAGATATTCAGATGTAACGAACTGGGAGGGAAACAGCACAACAGGACGTCCGAATAGCTCCAGACGTCTCCATGTCACAACAGCCTTAACATTAACATCCCATCGTGCATATCGGTCCCTAGAACCTAATAAATGACATGGGTGCAAATGGAGATCTGTTTGAGACTCCCCAAGAAAGCCGACACGCCACCAAAAGAAGAAACGGAAAAAAATGGAACAAAACAAACAAAACAGACGACTGACAGTTGCAGAAACGGCGTTGCCAAAGAGAATGCTAACCTTTACGTAAAGGTGAGTAGGTCGTTCGCGCACGAGTGATAAACCCACCCGACTTGACGACACTACTGCCAAACCTACAATGCAGACATCCCGTGAATTGTGAGACAACCACCTGTCATTACTACTCGAATCCACTGAGGACATCGATAGGGTATGCACACAACACTGACAGACAAAAGTTAATAGCCGTGCTGCTGACACACCATGCAGTATCAGAGTTTATTGTGAGCATTAAACGTTCGTGGGAGTTTCGAAATACGCCCTGGATGAGTACAGTGAATCAGGTCTTCCGAACTGAAACAATACTTTTGAAACCACTTAATTTTCCGGACGTGAATATTAAGCTCGAGTACAGAGACGAAAATAGACGCAATGACGGTTATATAGTGCAGGGAACAAGCAAGGCATATGGACAGAAACAACAGAGAGAGAGAAAAGAAGAAGGACCTACCAGTGCTACCACTAGCGCTCTCTAAACATTTTCTGGACGTTAATATTGAGTTTTCCTTTCAGAAATCTGCAGAGTACGCAGGGCAAGTTGCTTATTGGGAGTCCACAAGGCATAATAAGAACTGACCGAGCATCTTGAGAATGCCAGTCATGAACAAGTTTTAGTTTTGTGCCGAAAATTCGAGGTGTTACAAGAGAAAATAGGGTGAAATAAGGACGGTGGACCTTAGACAGGAAGGAAGGAGCAAACTACACGAGAGCACCTGCCAACCGCCCACATAAACCCATGAGGCAAGAGACGAATACAATATGACAAGAAAAAGGTAAATCCTAGACAAAAGACTGAGTGAGGGGAAAAACTGTCCATGCATGTGAACTGGCTCCTAAAGACTAGTGAACGTGTAAGTGAAGACCGCCCAAAATAAAGGCATACGAAAATAAAAAAGAAGATAACAAATATCAGCGAATGAAGTCATCTAAACATTATCGTTACCCACGAAGGTAAGGTTACATTTAACTCTGCCGAGACGAGAAACTAAAGCTAATGTGCACAGGGCTTTACAAAAAACCACGAACAAAAGGAAAGGAATGGCAATACAAGACGTACCAGGTCTGAATCATCAACAATAAACATGTTTAGAAACGAGGACCAAAAAACGTATTAAAGACTGAAGATTTTTCACCTAAAGTCAACCGAAGAAACCGACAACAATTTCACAGTATCATGATACGGGAGAGGGGAGGGGGGGGGGATAACACAGGTGAGTGTGAAAGCGTTCAGCTTTCATCGTAAACAACGGTATTTCACATCCAAGGTAACAACGAGGCCAGGGACACTACTGACTATTCTGTGTACAGTCCCACGGAATCACAAGCGTTGAACGACCAGCGACCACCCTCGCTGGAGTCCAACATAAACACCAATGCACGCAGAGGTCGATTACTCCATTATCATTATCCACGTACGAATTTCACACGCGTTGATTTCGCTGAATCTACATGGTGGTGTAAGGGAAAGGACAACACCATTGTCATAGAATCTACATGTCACACCGTCATCATTTGCGGATGTATTAAGACAAGGGGACAGAGATAGAGAGAATAAGGGAGACAGAGAAGGGGTGGGGGTGGAAGAGACGGTGTTGTACACGAGATAAGCGCAAACATTTACCCTTCCTCTCCGGAGGAGGAGACGAGTGGAGACTATACAGAGACAGCGGGATTGGAGTATTTGGAGGTGTCCCCACTCCGCTGTGCCCGCGGCGCCGGCAATTCACTCTTCGGCCGTGGTGGTTTTCGAGGGGTGGGGGGAGGGGGGCTTGGGGAAAGGGAGGCCTTCAAGCGTAAACATGGGCGTGCTATGTCCTCGCGACTCAGCGCTGGAACCAGGGAGAGACGTCACAAAAGCAGCAAACACATTAATTGTATTATGCAGGGCTCAATGGAAAACGGGCGTAGCCACAAACTGGAATTCGTAAGAGTACAAGTTTAACGTCACTCTCAAAACAATTAAGTTTATTGTTTTAAACCTCCGAATTTAACGTCTGTCTTCGATAGGACCGAGACAACTGGGTTGAGAGCCTTGAAAACGTCAAGAAACGATCGGAGTCCAAGAACGCCCGGTCTGGGATTCGAACCAGGGCCATTCGCTCCGCAATCCACCATAATACAAACTGAGCTAAAAAAAAAAATAATGCCGTGGAATAAGTGAGGATATTAATTTTAAAGAGCAGGTAGACAAATAACTGCATTTCTGTTCAACACTTGGTAAATTACTAACTAACGTTTGACTTTCTATTCAGCTGATAATAACAATAAACCACCAGTAAGACAGAGATGAAGGTATGAGTCTGCAACCTTTTCAAATTGATACCTAGCCTTCCCTCACGATTTCTAATTCGTGAAAACATCTGTTTGTCCATTGAATCATTCATGTCAATAAGTGAACATTGACCACCGAAAACACTAATTGTCCTTTTTAATGCTCGCCAATACAAAGACTCGTTCACCAAAAGCTTGATCAGGTTTACGGTGATGTGGAACAGGCAGTTTCCGTGAGTCCAAATTCCGCAGGTCCATCCGGGGTAGAGATGTTAAAAAGTTTATAATGTCAACAAGTCAGCGATGCTTGTAGAGGCGCACACAAGCATGGGGTCTTGGCCCTTTATTCGAAGTCATGGCGTCGTTGTTATTACATACATCGGACCGACAGTGTATCTTGTTTGTTTGAGTAAAATAAAGCACACATCGACGCAGTAATGGTCATTTAGTGCTGGTGAAAGTAAAACAGAAAGACAGAAACAACAGAGGGAAAGTAAAGAAGTAGGACCCACGCAGTGACACCCTCCATCCACCCGCACATTGTCTCTTTCAGTACTAGAGTACTGGAGCGATTCAAGCATCATTCAGTAGACCCAGTGATCGTATGAGAAAGTTCATTGCCATTCCTGTCTGGACGACGGATATACGGGAGCGAGGAATGGG